TATATATATATATAATGGGGTTTGGGTGTCGGATTAAAATTCAGAGGTATATGCCAATTTTGTGATTGGGAGACATAAATAGAGGACTGATAATTGCGGAGTTATTGTATAGGGAAAGTATCGGATGAAAGCAACAAAAATTAAATTGGAGGCTAATATCACCAGACTATTTGATTACAAGCAAACAATGCCATACTAGGATAGCGGTTATAAGAATAAGGTTAAATACTTTTAAATTTATACTTTGTTTTAAAATACCCTCACAAACTATTTTAATACAAGCGTGTTATAGGTGTATTTACATGCAAACAACACAATTCTTATGTATTTACAAATCTAACTGTTAAACTTTGATATTTACATATCTAGCTCTTCAATGCTAAAATCACTTCAAAATATATGCATAAAAAGGTGGATTTTTCTTTAGAAATTTTAACATTAGTGGTATTTTTGACATGACTTCAAAGACTTGGGTGTTATGTAAGTTAATATCAAAGTTTAGATGTTAGATATGTAAATACATAAGAATTTTATGGTATGTATATAAATCCCCCTTCTTTTATTTTTATTTGAGTTTCGAAAACATCCTATACGTCAAAAAGATGCTGTTCCTGTTGGTATTGGCATTTCTATTCCTCCATTTTTACTGACTTTCTATGAACTACTTTTACTGTGTTATCACATCTTTCATGTGATAGTAAGGCACTTAACCAAGCTTTATACAGAATTTTTTCTCCAGAGGCAGCTTGCGAAATCATAGAGGCAGAAAGGCACTCACATGTGTTCTATGAGGCGGAGCCAGATATGTGGATGATTATGGTATCATATATCCATCTCTTGATACCGAGTGTTCCAAGTATTATGCATTAGTCATCTCATGCTAGATATTCCAACAAAATATGCTTTCCCTGTTTTGTCATACCATGTTTCTCGGCTGTATAGGTTGCAGACTTGCAGCAATACTATCCTGTCTTCGTTTGGTTGTTTTTGTCAAATTTGGATTTGGTTTCATTTTATTTGTTTATTTTGCTGATGGTAAAAAATTTTGAGGTGTATTAATGTTGATCAAATTCATGCATAGATGAATTCTGCTAAAAGATGACAGCTTGTTCGCTCATTGGTTGCAAAAGAAGATGAGAGTTCTTCAATCGGTGGGCTCAATAATTGATTCTCTTAAAAGATCCCCAGTAACTTAGATTATTTCCTATTTGCTATGAGTTTGTAGTGCCTGTTCGGAGCAAATATGCGATTTATTTTATACATCCAACTCCTAGGATCTGTTTCCAGAATGTGAACTAGTTGCAGCAAATAGCCTCTACCTTTACTTCATTTCTGAACCAATGCTCTAGTTGGATGCCCAACAGGCTGGAGTGTGCTTCTTAATGAATAGTTCAGATCATATTTCATCTTGTCCAACTAGCTCTTTACAAGTTTGTGTTATCCTTAGACGCTGTTCTTTGATAATATCTATGGAGTTTCAAATTTGAACGAAAGATCTAAGCTTAGGATAAAATTATTGATTCATATGCAGATATGTTCTAAAATACATCAAATAAAACTGAGGTTGTCGTAGTTCAAAACAGCAAGGTAATGGTTTCCCAGGTTTCGAACAGCAACAAGTAGCAGATATCGATGTGACACGGCTGTTCAGGATGATGACAACAAGAGGGAAGAATATGAGTGCAGATTCTGGAAGATAGCAGCAAGTGAGAAGGTGAGGAGCGGCTGGAAGAGCTTGGAGAACAACATGCTTACTGATTTCCGGTGGACGGCAGCAAGGGGAAGGGCTTGCGGCAAGGCAGCAAGTAGGAATGAGAGAAAATAGGTGGTTGGGCAGCTGGACTGCAGGAAAGATAGCCGAGAACGGCAGTTCGGTGGCTGAAGCGAGGAGGACGGATGGTGGCTGCGGAGGGAAGGTTGGGGCGAGCAAGTAAGTCGATGATAATCACCACCACGGAACGAGATACAACCGGAGCATCACTCGACTTGAATATTGTCCTAAAAGGGAAGGACTTGAAGACACCGGCGGTTGTCTGGACAGAAAGCTCATAAAAACTAACTCCACAACATAAAATAAAACATATAGCCTTGGGTAAAGAAGAGTGGCCCCCATCCAATGGGCGACAACCCCAAGCACCAAAATTGATCACTCAACTAGTGGTTTGTTTGAAACAAATGATCCCGGACGGCCCATGCGATCTTGTGGGAGTTTCGTTCCAAGTCGAGAGCATCCCTCTTCTGCATCAGTCTCCCGGGATTGGAGAGCTTCGACCTCATTCTTCTAAGCTTCCGTTAGCACGTTGAAGGCGACGAAGTTGCTATAACCCCCCAGGGTCACTTGGATACTACTGTTAGTTTCACTGGCTTGAAAAGCTTTCCCCACTTGCAACCAGTGACCCATACCGACCCAATTTTCAGGATGAAACTACGTAACTGAATTGGACACGTGCGTATCTATTTTTGAATCCTCCCAAATTAACCTTAGGTTGACTCAACCCGATTTGAAGTGACGACAACCAGAATCTCCCTGAATAGTGGCAACTTTGCCGGTAAGCTGTCAAACAAAATGTCTTGAAACTCTCTATATAGGCTGCCCTGTGTGCAACCGACTCTTTTGTCTTGCGGTCCTCTGTCATCACCAAGACTGATTCTTCCGCGCTCCTCTGCTGGCAAGAGCACCTGTAATCTCGAACTTCATAGAAGTTAAAATGATTGTGTTTGCCATCTTTGTTGAACAAGTAGGTGTTCCCGAACCCATCATATTGAATCAAATAATCAAATTGTTACAGTCTCTCCAACAAAAGTTGATAGACATCTATCGACACCACGTCCCACCATTCATGATCATTTAGCTGGTTCTCAATCAAAAATTCCATGAGACACCTCCATTTAATACTCACCCTACTCTCCTTCAACCATTTCAGGGAATGCAGTTAGGAATACCTCTTAGTCACACGGCTTTAATTTGTCCACTGTTTATGTGGACGTCATGTTTTTACTATTCCCTCTATTAATAACGAGATTGTATACCTTTCATTTCACGGTCCAACGAGTGTAGAATATATTATGGTGAAACCATTGTTGCTTCCTCAATGCCTCACTTGGAAGGACTCATCGAACCACAAGCAACTCGCTCTCATCTAGTCTAAACCGGTACTAATCATTTTTATTAGTTTCTTCCTCGTTGCTAACTTTTTTCACTGCACCCCGCTCGGTGAAGTACACAATTCGACTTGTCAGGTAACTGAAGGTGATGTGCCCCAAATCCATGACTTCTGCAACATTTTCTGGCTGAGACTGTATATGACATGCTACTCTTCTCAGGCTTCTTATTCTGAGTGATCCTATCCTTATCTTGACTAGTTTTCTTAATTCCCTGAGGTGTGCTCCTGCTGATATCTCCAACTGCGGGTGGTCTCCTGAATGGTTGCGGTTGTCTGCTCTGCTTCTGTTATCTTTTCACTTTTAATGCTAAAATTTACACTTCTCTAGTATCCAATAGAGTTACATTTGGACTGCATTTGTTGATGGCGGGCTTTAGACCTATCAAATACTTGACTTTGGTGCAATTCTCTCGGTTTTATAGATTACATTTCAGCTGGAGCTGCATAAACTGTTGTGTACTCCACCGATAGCTCCTTCTACTGCAGATAGTGAAGCTTCAAGAAAAAATCCTGGTGGTAGTTTGGGGATAGGTGCTATCGCTTCATCACCTTCATTTTCTCCCAAGAAGTGATTTTGTCGTACCCTTCTCTCTATCCTTCCCTCTTCAGGTTCTCCCACCACAAAGAACCATTTTTCTTCAGCTTGATTGCGGTGACTTTCACTCTTTTGTCATCAGCCACCGCCTTGTATTTAAAGATTCACTCAACCATTTGCATCCACTCGAGGACATCATCTGAATTCATTTTCCCCTCAAATTTAGATAGGTTTATCTTTATCCTCAGTTCTCTCTACCCTTCAATAGGCAAGTCATCTCTATATCTTTTAGCAGGCACTCCTTTTATGTATCTTCTAAGAGGCGTCTCATCTTTGTATTCTCTAACTGCTTCTCATCTCTTTATTCTTCAGTAGACACCTCTTCTTTAGGCTTTCGTTGATATTAGGCCAAAACGTTGTGGCTTGTCTTCTTCTCCTTATGGAAGGGATTCAAGTCTTCTTCTTGCTATCTTTCATGGATTTCACTGTTATGATCAACGATGATGCCGCTCCGGGTCATTTCCTCAATGGCATTGAACCGATGCCGTTTTATATCGTCCATAATACATTCATGATCTGATTCCGACAATTTTCTCCTGGGGGGTGTCGTTAAGATTTTGGGCGTAGGTAAGTGGAAATAGGTGTGTTGAGCGGAGGCAAAAGAAAAATTTTAGGGGGGTGATATGGGGGATGCTAGAAACTCTAGAATAAAACTAGAGTTAGGCTAGCTCTGATATTAAATAATGCCAGAGTTAACTAACAATAATGGGAAAAATAAATATTATTATTGCAATCAAATTTAAAATTACAACCCAGTAATTGAAAATTGGAACTAACAACACACACGACACACAACACCCAACTATGGTTGGATCAAGGGTGATGGAGGGTGTCAGTGAGGGTTTGGAAGGTGGTGGGATAGTGGACAAGGTGATCAGCAAATAGAAAACAACAAAGTAATTGTTTTTTGGGTTCCTTACAGCAAGCACATAACAAATATCAACATGGCATGGTTGTCCGGGACGAAGTCAATAAAAGAGGGAAGGGTATGGGTGCAGATTCTGGATGATGGCAGCAAGTGGGAAGGTGAGAAGTGGCTGAAAGAACTTGTGGAACAACAGGCTTACTCCTTTCTGGTGGATGGCGGCAAGGGGAAGGGTGTGCGGCAAGGCAGCAGGCTGAAATGAGGGAAATAGGTGGTTGGGTGACTGGATTGCAGGAAAGACGACCGAGAATGGCTATTCGGCGGTTGCAACAGGGAGGAAAGACAGTGACTGTTGAGGGAAGGTTGCGGTAGATGGGGAAGTTGAAGATGATCACCACATCGAAATGAGATACAATCGGAACACCACTCGCCTTGGATACAACCCCTAGAAGGAACTGACTTGGATCCACTTCTTTGAAAAGTCGCAAGTTTTTCCTTCTTTGTATATTTTTTTGTTGCGATCCACTTCTTTGTTCCACACGAAAGAGCCCTGATTCTTCTTAATGGATCGTCTCCTTGTCATCACGTATAACTCCTGAGCCAATAGTGTCCCTTTTACGAAGTCCACACGTAAATCCCGAATTTCTCTGTTGTCTTAGCCTTTGCACTACTTACTCTTCTAAATTGCGTGAAGCCTTTGCATGTTCTCCCCACACCAAGCTGAAATCTTCTTTTCCCTGTTCGGCTGCCTCTCTTGTTTCTCTCCTCGTACCGACCCACTCTACACTAACCCTCTTCTCAGTCTCCTTGCTCAGTCCTTCACACGACCATAAATGAAAAGTTTTACCAGTTGGAAGAAAACAACCTTCTATTGGAATCTTACTCAACCGAAACCGCATCTTCGAAGCTCATCGTTTCTTCACACGGCGCGCCTATCTGTAAGCCTTCCAAAGCTCTATGCCTCTACTTTGATTCTCGCGCATGAGAACTGGCTGCCACAACTTTCTTGCACCAAACCCTCATGTGATCTCTGTCGCACGCAAATTCTTCTGCCTCGCTTTACGGGAGGCCATAAATCTCTATCCACTCGCAAACCATAGAAACTCTCTTCTTCCTAGTCGCACTAAGGAGCTTTGTTTGCTGAACCAGAGTCACTTCTTCTTTGTGCCCTTCTACTTAAGCCTGATCCTAAAAG